TGTGCTTGGTTCTGGGTGGCCTAGATATAACAACTTAGGATTTGTTTATTTTTTAATACTTGTTTATACAATGTTTATGCAATGATCAAACATCAGCTAAACAAAAAGCTGTTACAAAGGCCTTGAAGGATGAAATGCTCTCAGTATGTAGAGTGACTTCTGGCAGAATGTATGTTTTTGTTCTGTATGTGGTATGCTAAAACCTCTTTGAGCTACTGCTCTTGATTTGTAGGATGATATGTACAGGCTCTAATAGTGTAGGTAAAATGGCAGACTAAAAGAAGGGGAGATCTCTTTCTGTGGGCTAGGTGATGCTCTCTCTGATAGAACAGATCACCTTTTAAAAAAAAACAACTGATTTGCTGCTGATCTTGCTTTCACTGAGTCTTGTATCTTGCTAAAAGTACCAACTATGAAAGTGATGTAATCATGTAAGAGATGTACTTTTTACCTTGCAACTAAAAATTGTGCCTATATCAGGTTGGCTAAAGATTCGAATCAGAATCTAAGGGGAAAATCTGTACTGTCTCTTCTAGGACTGTTTGACCTTTTGGGGCTTGTCTCAGTAACACCAGAATGCATGGGGCTGGGAAGGGGGCAGTTAGAAAGATAACAAACCATCTAGCTAGCTGGAATCTGATCACGCTTCAGCTGCAGCATACAAATCTGGATTTTATCTGAAACCAGAGAGAGGTGCTTTGTGAACAGGGGAGAGGAGAAGTCAGGGATGGCCCAAAACATAAGCCTTTCTCTGCCCTTTAGAAGATGCAGGCTTGCCTCTTCTGCTGGCATGGATCTAACACTTCCCACAGCATAAATTAAGGCTTTAAAAGCTAAGCATCTAGGCACAAGGCACTGTATGTGTTTATGTACCTAAAACTTTGATCTTCTGGATTCCCTAGGCACTTGTGATGTTATCTGAGTTCTTGTTGTACTGCTAAGTTATTTATGTGCTTTTTACGATATAATTTTTAAGTTCAACCTGCAGGCTTTTCCTGTCTTCAACTTCTGGCTTCTGTGCTTCAGATGGGGGAAGGTGAACAAGTTCCACATTACATCATAAAATAGGTTTTTGGGCAAAAAGAATCACATAAGTTTAGTGTGGTCTAATAAGTGAAACGGTGTACTTAGGACTTGGCTGAGTTGTGGGGTTCTTAAAAAGACTTTAGCACTTCTCCCAATTCATTTAATATTGACTGATCATAGGAGAGACTGAGAGACTGATTATGTCTGCACCTTGGGTTTTGTTTTGTTTTTATTCCGAGATGTACATCTTGGCACAAAGGGCAATATTAGCATGATGTGTAATAGTATAAATTAGATATGAGGAGCGCTTATAAAGTGTAATAAACAAGAACTTCAGCTTAAGCTTCTCAACTTGATGACTTGCTTTAATTTTTGGTGAGCTGTTCTTGGTGTAAGAAGCAATACATATAGCATTAAAAATGGTAGATTTCTCAAAGCAGCTGCTCTTGTGATTGGATGCAGCCATGAGCCATTTGGTGGTGGAAGAGCTGCTTATACTTATATGTAATTTTTATATAAAACATATTGGGGAAGGAGAGAAGGGAGAATACCACTTAATTGTTCATGCATCTTGGAATGTGTCTAGTGTTGGAAAGGATTAGGAAACTACAGCTGCTGCAGCTGTTGTTCCCTTCGTCTTTGTTCTCTACCTTCCCCACCCCTCCCTGGTATTAGACCTTGAGTAGATGACAGCAAATCCAACATCTGGAACTTACATGTCCTCCGAGATTAACCCTCTTAGCTCAGCACAAATCTTTACATTGAGTTCTGGTCCTTTCTTATTTTGGATGCTGCAAGCTGCTTGTGTGACTCTACCTGAAGAAGAGAGATACAACGGCTAAGGCAGCATGCTTGGCAATAAAAAAGAGCATTTGCATTCACTTTTCATGCTATGCAGATGTTATTTTCTGAGGCATGTAAACATTGAGTATGTGCAGCCAACTCAAAACCAATGGATGTTGCTTGTGCAGAAGAACAGGGTGATAGATGCCTTAACTGTAATACTGCATCACCAGAAAGCATCATGGTGACTTGTGGCTGGCTTGAGGTTGACAGGAAGAAAGGTCTCCAGGTCAGCTGGAGACAGAAGGGACAAAGCCAGTGAGGCTGTTCCCCATACCTGAGCTGGGGTTGGGTTCCCTCTGAGTAGTTAAGAGGCATCTCCAGTTCTAAGAGCAGAATTCATGGCTGAAGCAAGCAGGTTAGTCTGATCAGACTTTGACATCAATTTCTCTCCTAGAAGGAGGAAAAAAAAATTGCTGCATGACCCTGACAACCACACTAACACAACACAAGTACAAAATATATTTTTGTACTACATATTTAGTGCCTCAACACCTGGGACCAAAATGACATACACCAAACATTAAAACTGCTAATTTTCCTCTAAGGAGACAACCAAGAACACATTACCTCATCTTTACAACACCTCATCTTTAAATACTATGTTGTTTCTAAGCCCTTCTGGAAGGGAAAACTGGGAATAGCAAAAAATGTTGAGTGTAAAGTCACTTTTGAATTTGGAAAGGGACAGAGTACCTTACTATATCACACTCTAGTACCTGTCAGTGTACCAACTAGCTTTGCAAAGTCAGTCAGCTGTGAAATACCCGACTTCAAAATTAAAGTCTGCCTTGAGATTAATAGTATGTTATCTTCTTAGTCTGTAGACTGTAAGCTGTTTTGCGCATGCTATGTCCTGGCACTGGAATATTTCATTCCAGGAAAACTAGGTTCCCCCTTGTGGGTTTTTTGGAGTTTGCCTTACAGTAAGTGCTAAGTTTGGTCTCATCAGGGGACACTAAGTACGGGCTGCAAAGTATGATTATCCTTCTGTTTAAAAGTAATATAGCATGTCATTTCAATAACTTGAAACTAAAACTTCATGCCTAACAATTAAAATAGTCCTTTCAAGAGAAATTAATGTTCTGAAAAGTATCAATAGTCTTGATACCTTCTTTACTGTGAACCTCAAAGCTAGCTGGTCTTGTACGACGACTTATTACTGATGTAGTGTCTGTATAGATACACTGAGTCATGGCCCTGAGCTGTTCTGGCTATTAAAAACTCAGGTTTGACATGTTTCCTCTTCTAAAAAAAATTACCTTGATAGTAATACTTTTCAATGAAAGACCTTTGGGTTCTGTAAATGACTAGACTGAACACACGGGGGAGAAATCTGAACAGCTCTTTAGCCTCAAAAGCAGTTAGAGAAAAGGCTTCCCTTTGAATGCAGAAATAAAGAACAAAGATGAAAATGTAAGATGTGATGTGTAATGTTTGATGGAAAGCTGCTGCTGTTGGGAGATGGAGACAGAGATGCTGTTCCAGTGGTGTGACCGGAGTGGCTATCTAGCTGTAAATAATTTTTTTCTAAAAAAAATTCATGAAATGCTGTACACCATGATCAAAAGCAGGCTATCAGATTTTTTTTTGAGTAGAAGAGGGACAACTTGAGAATGGAATAAGTAATTCTTGGTCTAATAAATGCATAAGAAGCAGCTGGTAAACTCCAGTTTACCAGTTTTCCACTGTTTGGAACTCAATGAGAGCTAAGAAGGTCGGCAAGGACTAGAACTCCTGTGACCATGTTTAGCAAAGGTCTTGCCTAGCTCACGCTCTAAAAGGCAGCCTCTCTGCCGTTCCTAAGTGCCTACGTGTTCTCTTCTGGCACAGCAATACTGCACTGGCTAATGACAAATCACCACAGTTGTTCTTTGCAGTAATCTCTAAATGATCCAAAACAGCTGGGAGGGGAAGAAGCTGTCACAGTCTCTTCACATACAACAAAGGTGATGCACAATGGCAGAAATACTGTTATACACATGCTCAAATATGAAAAGCACTGTGTCAAAATAGACTTTTATGTTAAAACATAACTTTATTGACTGTTGCAGGGTTTCTGCAAGGTGATGTACCTTCTACAGGCACTTCTGCCAATACCTAGCTGTATGTCAGATTAGACTTGCAACACACTGTAAACCTGCATCTTAGGGCAAAGCTCTCCTACTGGACTCTGACTGG